GGCCACCAGCATCCTGGCCTGTATCAGAAACTCACTACAAGAAGGACGTTGGGGTGCTGGAGCATGTCCAGAGAAGGGCAACGAAGCTGGTGAAGGGTCTAGAGCACAAGTCTTATGAGGAGCGGCTGAGGGAACTGGGGTTGTTTAGCCTGGAGAAGAGAAGGCTGAGGGGAGACCTTATTACTCTCTACAAGTACCTGAAAGGAGGCTGTAGTGAGGTAGGGGTTGGTCTGCTCTCCCAGGTAACAAGTGATAGGACAAAAGGAAATGGCCTCAAGTTGTGCCAGGGGAGGTTTAGATTGGACATTAGGAAAAATTTCTTTACTGAAAGAGTGGTTAGACATTGGAACAGGCTGTGCAGGGAAGTGGTGGAGTCACATCCCTGGAGATGTTCAAAAAATATGTTGATGTAGCACTTTGGGACAGGGTTTAGTGGGCATGGTGGTATTAGGTCAACGGTTGCACTTGATGATCTTAAGAGGTTTTTCCCAACCTAACAATTCTATGATTCTAAGCTTGACTGCCCTGGAGAGGGCATGAGTGGGGATAAGGTTTGGCTCTGAACATTTAGTCCTTGCACTCATGTTTACTTCATCTGCCTGTTTTGTTTCCTTGTTTTTGAAGACAGTGACAACTTTGCGATTGGTTACAGCATCTCCTGGTTTTTTTTCCATTTGTGACAAAGAAGCAACCACTGCTATTTATGTGCATGCTCAGATTGTAGGTTTAACTGCTTCTGTTGGAGTCGGTAACGCCAAGACCATCAAGGAAACGATAGAGCACATCTGTACCCTCTGCTGCTACCTTGGCATAGAGGCCATATCCACTGTCAGAGAGAACAAACAGGATCTGCAGAGATTCACAAACAAGCCAGAAACATGTAAGCACACTTCCTTTTTATTTTCCTGTGAGATTCAAAGCACCATAATTAAGGCAGCTATCCAATTGCCGCTTGGTCAGGTGAAGTTAAAAGCTTAAAACTAGGCTAGAGCTTTGCTTCCCACTGGCTTGAAAGGAGTTTAAGCATGCACTTTGTTGTTGCCCCACAGAAAGGCAGTGTCCATTCGGGCAAATTTTCTCTTCGCTGAGATCCACAATCTCTGTTTTTATTAATTGAAAATTGGGGGCTGTTTCTTTCTGTGCAACTGTAATGCTCATTAACAATAAACATCATTATGATTGCATAGACCACCACATGTAGCATTCTCCTAGACAAGAATTTGTTCTGTGCTGCTGTTTTACTTATTCAGGCCACTGATTTCCGTTTGTTGTCTCTAGATATCCGACAGGTTAAAATACGAGTTCAGAATCACTTTGCAGACATTATCTCAAGTCTGATGTCTGAGACAGAGGTGTTGATGAGGAAGATTTACTCAGTGGGTAAGATATTGTGATATGCCTGTAAAAGGGATACAGTTTTTGATTACATCACTGTGTTTCCTCATGGCTGCTAGAACAGTCACTCTTTTTCCATTTCCTTTCTCCTCCTTACTTTTTACTTGCCTTTAACCAGTGTTTCCTAAGTGAGAGATTATAGGTAGAAGAGTCAACTGTTTTCCTGTTATATGTGATTAGTTTGATAATCATAAATATTGTTTGGATTTCAGCCTGTGTTTCATGCAGCTAAGGATGGTGTGCTTTTGACACTATCAAATAATTTTGAATTTTTAAAGAATCTAAAAAAGAACTACCAAAGGGCTTGTTTTCAAAATGCGATGAACTGAATTTCCTTGATGAGAGATATCTATATGTTCTTATTTAAATATTTCTGCAAATACTTCATGCCTAAATCTGTCTCTGTTAAGGAAAACAAGAAGGGTCTCAGTTATGGTGTTACTCTGAATGTTGTAATTTCTTCCTTTCAGTGCAAGTTTACTTTCACTCTTGCTGTTCCGACACTGCTTTTCTTATTTTCTCTGGCCTTTCTGAGTTGTGCTTAGAGTTTTTGCTAGGCATGCCCTGACCACCTTTTCTGGTCAGCATTTTGTCCTCTTTATACCTCTGGGTACTCCTATTTCCACTGCATATCAGGTCTCCATTATTCCCCATTGAAAAGCATTTAAGGCAATTTTACAGAGGAATACCTGCGGAACGTGAACACCACCAGAGAGAGCATACAGCTGCCTAAGAAAGGAAGCACTTCTCTGTAGGGTTCCAGCCTCAGGAGCTGCAGTGGCATGAAAGGTTTGCAGAGAGGGAGATGTATGGCTGTGAGAAGAGAACAGGCCTCATGGACATGAGGCATAATTCTGCAGCCCTTCAGAAATCAATTGATCTTTTCTGCTTTTGCAGATGTCCTACGTGGTGTCCAGTAAGTGGCTGTTATCACAAATTTGAGAGCTACAGAGGCTACAAAGCAGAGACCCATGGATGGTTATGCTCAGAATCAACCTTGGTCCATCCAGCTCTGAGTTAAAGGATTTTGTCTATGCTTAGAATGGCATCCAGGGTGCCTTAAGCCTGTTTACCTTAGTTCTATACTTTCTAGATTTCCCACACACACACTTTCCAGATACTGGATAGTGAACTGTATTCTGGGGCAGGAAGGGAGAATTAAAAAGAATCATCAAAACAAAAAAAAACCCCGCACCTAACCAAAAAAATAAAACAACCAACAAACCAAACCCCAAGAAACCCTGACAAAGAACCAATACAGTGGGATTCAAAATATGTGCTAAATTAAGTAAACACTTCTGAAGCTTATTTTGGCATCACAGTTCCTCTTGCATGAATGCCATTGGCTTCCCTTCTGTGGACCCTCTGATTACTGAATTTTATGAAGCACTCAGAGTACATATGTGACAAACAGGTACTGACTGGTTCTGCCTCAAGAACAGGCCCTTGGACAACAAGCTTATAAGTACCATGGACTGTTTAGCAAATGAGTACTTAATTATTGAGTAGCTGGTAATTCAAGGAGCAAGGCACATGAGTTTCTTGAATACTGTAGCCTTCTTATAGGGTAAGTAAGCTCTCATTTTATTGCTAAAGACTTCAGATGTGTCTAAGTACACAGATCCCCAGTTGAATTGTACTGGGTTAATTTTAGCCTGACATCTGGGTATAAGTTGAAACACAAGGAGTGAAGAAGACAGAGCCAGACTCTTCTCAGATGGTTCCAAAAGGCAGGACAAGAGGCAGTGGGCACAAACAGAAACACTTAAAACAACAGCAAGAACTTCTTTGCTGTGAGGGTGGTCAAACACTGGAACAGGTTGCCTACAGGAGCTGTGGAGTCTCCATCCTTGGAAGTACTCAAAATCCATTTGAACACGATCCTAAGCAATGGGCTCTACGTGGCCCTGCTTTGAGCAGAGAGTGGGGCTAAAGACCTCCACATGTGCCTTCCAGCCTCAGTGATTCTGTGATTGTATCATACAGTGTTCTTCTGCATAGGCTTTTTAACATTCATGGAAAATGTGTTAGCTTCTAGCTAACTGTTCTGGTTATCTGTTAGTCAAGATGAACAAATGTTTGTTTCCTCCTTCTCTACTAGCAACTATCTCCCAAATCAACAAGAATGATTTTGGAACACAGAAATATGAACAATGGATAGTTACCACTCAGAAGAAATGCAGACTGTTGCAACTGGCAGATAAGGATAAGGAAAGCAGCATTTGTAGAGACCTTTTCATTTGCACTGAACACCTGCAGGTTAAGTGAATATCCTCTTTCCTTCCATACAGAGGTGGAGCCATCCTGTTCCTTCTGATATGGGTATGTTCACCTAGGAGCAGGTTTTGAACCTAATAGTTTTATTTGACACAGGCTAAAGCATGGCGTTTAAGACTTGTGTCTAAAGATACTCACTAAGAACACTATAGTGCAGAGGAGACTTTGTAATGCTTGTATTGTCATGCAAACGGAAGAACAACCCAAGTTTGTAATACTTAATCTGGATAAATAAAATTTGCATTCATCCCCTGTTCCACAGAAAATAAGGCTTAAATGTGTATGTCTCTCTTTCTGAACAGAAGTTCAATGATGCTCTCATCAACAGTGAAGAAGCCTGCATCGAAGACGCTTTAACCTACCCAACTGAATTTTTCACAAACGTCAAAAATGGGCCACGTAGATTTAGAGAAGCAACTGACAGCCAAATTTCAAAGTATTTCACACAGTACCTGTGACAGTTGCAGGGGAGAAAAGGGCTTATGGTAGGATGATCCAAGTGCTTTCTTCAGAGTAAATGCATTTGCTTTTCCAGAAACTTCGCACTTTTCAGAAGACGTGTGTCTGTTAGGGTAGGCAGGGGGGAACTTTCTGGGACTGCAAGCTTCTAGTGCAGGAGCTAAGGAAGAAGTAGTAATTGTAGCTAGATGCTGTAGTAGGTTCTTACATGCCTGACTTGGAGATAAGGGAGCGGTGTCCTTAAGCATGTGCCCCACAAGTACTGGGATGGTCTACAATCATGGATGCTGGCAGCATTAGACAAGGCAACATACACTGCTCAGTGCACTGCCTAGCCTCCTCCTTCCAGATGCTCCTAGGACTCAGCTGTGCAACAAAGGATGTCCAAGGCCCTCTAGGCCTTGTGAAATTTCTTCCCCCACCTCTGAGGCTTGGTTTGTCTCCTCCCGCTTCTTTTCAGAGGATTCTGTTTCTGCATGAGCTGCAGGTTCCCAGCTCCAGGCTCCGGCTATTGCCTCTTTTTCTGCCTGCAATGTCTGTGGTTTCTGGAGCCTTTTTTTCAAACTGTGAGCTTCCCAGAGCAGCAGCGCTACTTCTGCTGTAGGAAGTCTCACATGACTTACTCTTCACAAGGACTTAGTAGCATTATGACCAAAGGGGCCACAGAGGGTAGAGGGAAGGAAGGAACAGATGGCATAATGCTGTCCATCATGTAGCCTTACATTCTTAACCTGACAAATGTACCATGTTCTTTCTTTGGTATGGAGTTACTAGACCAAGGCATGTTTTATTTGCTTTGAAGTAGTAAGTTCCTAAATGTTACCTGTCCTGCATCATGTTTAGACAGACTTTGGGCTTCTTTTAATTTCATTATTATCTTGATTTTTATTTATTTATTAAAGATACATGACCTGCAAATGAAGGAAAAGGTGTTACGAGATTTCAGGAAGAAAGAAACAAGATGTCAGGTAGTGGAAAGGAAAAAAAATCTTCTGTGTGGAAAATGCAAAGCATGTGCCTGCAGTACGGATGACATCAGAGTTATAAAGGTATGTCTCTGTATGGAAGCCTACATCCATGAACACCAGGGAAGTCAGCATTATTGAACTAACAGCATTGTTTATCAGCATATAACGCAGGCTATTTTGTGCAAACTGGAGCAGAAAAAAATTCTGAGTACATTGGTAAACCACAGGACCAGTCACAACTACTTCTGTAGCATGCTGTGATGGTAGCTGATGATGTTCAAGGTATGTAAATATGTGATATGACAGGAATCTCTTCAGTTTTCCTGAACCCCCTTCTGTTAGAAATAGATGAATATTGTGGAAAACCATGTGATCTTCAATGATATAACCTACTAGTGGAACCAATGGATATTTACTTTGCCAATTAGCATAAGATTGGAAGTCTTCCTGCAGTTGAGAGATTTCTCCCACTATTTCTGTTGATTGAAAATCATCCATACAAAGGACTGACATCAGCTTACTGTTTATCTCCCTGGCTTATGGGCCAGTTTTCAATTTTGAAAAGCAAGGCAAACCATGTTTTTAAAAGAGGAGCCCTTTAATTCTTCAGTATTACTTTGTTTTCAATTCTTTAGGTAGTTCATATTGCTTCTATGTATCTCATGGGGACATTTTTATTCTACTGTTTTTGAACTTCAAGAATTTCTCTGTAGGCCCAAGTAGCCAATACTGTACATATGGAAAGTGGTGATCATGAAAGAGACCCTTTTCTGGTCACTTTGAGCCTTTCTACTTCTGAAATTTGATGTTTTGAAGCTTCTTCTATTTGTGCTGCTCTGAAAAGTGCAGTTGTGATGTGATAAGGGGCTTCAGGCCACAGCTGAGCATTACAGAGTGCTTGCCTTCAGGCACTTCCCTTTGTAATCAAGAAAATCTTTTTTTTGTTTGTTTTTACCAGCTGTTTTTTGGAATGTAGATGGCGTTCACTACTTCTCGGCACAGGGAAGGTCCACAGCCGAGGAGTTGGGAATAGTTCCACCTTGTGAAAACCCAGCTACCTTGACAAATAACAAAGGACATCTAACATGCACCGCTGACTGTTACTCCATTTTGTGCTGCTGGCTTATCACCTATACCTGTGCAAATACATCACAGAGTTCAGAAAACTCTTCAAAAAGAGTTTTTGCTTAGTATTCTGCCATTAACTCCTCACAATATCTTAAATAATCCCTACAAACTGAGTTCTGCCATAGTTCAGCCTATATATTTACTGGAAGTTGCATTTCCAGGAGGGACTAGTGTTTTCAGACTCCAGCTCAAATTGTTCTTATGCTTTCAAATTAAGTTGTTAATTTTTTTAATCTTTGATTATTTGGAACTAGGTGATCTTTAAGATCCTTTCCAACCCAAACCATTCTATGATTATATGTGGTATAAACAACCACTGTAACTCCTTTACCTTGTGAGGGTTACTTTTTCTACCACTCCAAAGTAATTGCATCACCCCTCATGGAAAGCTGGGGTCACATAGTTAAAATGCGTGGAAAGAAGGAGTCTGTCTCTGTTTTCTGTTTGTTTTCTGTTGTCTGGATGTCTGTTAGTTTTATGCACAAGGCTCAAATACTGCAACCATGTTTTTTAGAGAAGCTAAGTAAGTTCAAATATGTGTAAGCTGGTGACCGGTGATATGCAGTAATTTTGGTTTTGATAAGCCCAGTCCCAGGTCTTTCTAGTACCTGGTATTTAATGAATGGGGAAAAAAAAAGCAAGGGGGCTGAAAGGTGAGCCTCCTGGATGACAGGAAGCTCCTTACCAGGGAAATGGTATTTGTGAGGGGAAAGGGAATGTCAGGGAAAAATGAGGAATGGTGGTTCTACTATTAAGTGCTTCTGGCATGTGTTGTTTCAGGAATCTCATCACATCCTAGGAGATGCCTTCAAGGAGCATTATATAATAAAGCCTCACGAGAAACCAGTCCAGTTTGATTGTTTTGAGAAAAAAAGCAAGATGCATTTCCAAAATACTAATTGCCATCATGACTGGGGAGTCATTGTGAAGTACAAGGCATTTGATAATCTACCAGTGATCAAAATCAAAAGCTTTGTAGTAGAGAACATTGAAACTGGGACACAAATGGATTTTCAGACATGGAAAAATATTAGTTTTTCTTTGAAGAATTTAGATGTTGGAGAAATGTGCTGCTGAACTCAGCATTTTAATGCACGTATCACCCTACTGCACTAAGCTGAAATAGTGGATGATCTATTTCCATGTATAAAGAATTCTTGTTCTTTATGCTTTCTGATATGCTAGGTCCCTCATCAGCACGTGGCTAGATTAAAAAAAGTATGACCACTAAAAAAAATTTGTTATCTAATTAAATGTTTTGCTAGAAGTTTTAATATAAGCATCAAAAACATGTGCCTAAGCATTTAGGTCTCAATCCTTGCTGCTATAAAGAAGCTGGTCTGACAAAAACTTCAAACAAAGTTGAATGACTAACTGAACATCTAATTTTAGGTGACAGGCCACAACCTCAAGAATTTCTGTGTGAAACAGAATCTTCTTTGTTACCAGTAACTTCCAGTTGGATTGTACCTCCATGTAGACAACACAGCTTATGCATACTGACACTTTAAGCACTACTTTAGCTTTAATGCTCTAGGCATTTTGGTATATTGAAAATTAAGAGAAAATTTCCAGTAACTTTTCTGTGAGGAAGATACTGCACCTTTTAAATCCATCTTTAATAGAGAATGCTTCTGCAACAGTCTGAGAAAACCAATAGGGCTTCACAGAGCCCTCTCAGAGGAGGCATCTTGTGAATTAAAATGGTAGCAGTGTTTTCTTCTATCACTGCACGTTCGTCAAGTTGCTGTTGCTAAAGTTGCAGAATGGACACCTTTCTATGTGTTGCTTAACTGAAGAAGCCCCAAGGGGGACAAGGCAGTGCCCTGTAAGATAGGTGAAGGCTTAATTTAGATGGTGATGAGTAGTTACCCTGGTGTCCTGTCTCATGAATTCACATCTGAAATCTCTCAAGACACTAAGATTAATTCCACAGATTTCCTGTCAGAGCTGACCTAGAATTGGAATAAAGTCTAGGCATAGTGTGTATAGGCATAAATCCCTCCTCCCCACCCATATCCCAGACTTCCCTCAGAAAAACAGAAATTGCTACTGACGAAGGTATGAAACATTGTTAAACTTGTAGACTTTAAAGGCCTTGCTGTTTCTATGTATCTTCGATCAACTTAATCTTCACTATTTCTGGAACCAAGATCAAATATATTTTTGATTCTCTTTATGCATTTGATAGTGTAGTAAGGTATGTATGCAGAAGAATTATGTGTCTGAAACACCTGAAGAAAACAAACTACCTTGAACAGTAAACTAACTCAGAGTCCAAAAATTATTTAAACTACCTAAACCCTAGTCCATGAGACTTGCGGTGCTCTTTTAAACAGTGCTATGTGGCATTAAAAGCAAAACTACTTTTTAAGCACTGCTTCGTGTTCCACCCCAGGTCATGCCCTTTACTGTGAAAGCCGTTTACATGTACAGGAAGCCTGAATCTCAGTCCTTCAGTAACTTACTCTGTGCTCAGTTTTTACCTAGTAAATGCACTGTTCTTATAGCTGCTTCAAAAAAGGAAACACAGAGCAATGGATAAAGGTGATTTACGGTTGGATAATGCCTCCAGTCCAAAAATACTAGCCACAAAGATTTTGAAAAAGACTGGTTTAGCACTTTCAAATTAAAAGTACATGGAAAGCCACAGTCCTTGAGTATCAGTTCACTGGGTGAAAAGGCCATCTACTTTGGGACTCTTGCCATTCAAAATAATGAGTCTTAAGTTTCACAGCTTATAGTAATAACTACTGGGAAGTTAACGGATTTGAGGAGTTTTAGACTATTCCTATTGTTTGAACGCAATGATTGCAGACTAAAAGATCTCTGCAGCTCAGCCCAAGTGAGTGTAACAAAGGTTGATGAGGTAACACATTAATAAGAATGCAATTTGATACAAGTCCACCTTCCGCACTCTACTTGGCCTTGGAGAATATCTGATTTTTTTTTGCAATTGAACTCTAAGTTGCATATTTATTACCAAATAATGCTCAAGATTATAACCATATTAACAGCTTTCTGTTAAGACGTTTCACAGAACAGCTGAGGTTGGGAGGGACCTTTCAAGGTCACCTTGTCACCTACAGCAGTTTGCCCTGGATCACGTCCAGAGAGCATCCAAACGTCTCCAAGGAAGGAGACAGCGCAACCTCTCTGGGCACTCTCTTCCAGTCAGTGCTTGGTCACCCTCACAGTAAAACAGTGTTTTCTGATGTTCGAACGGAACCTCCTGTATTTCAGCTTGCACCCATTGTTTCTTGCCCTGTCATTAGGCATCACTGAAAAGAGCCTAGCTGTATCTTCTTTGTGCCCTCCGTTCAGATATTTGTACACAAACAGTGGAGATGTCCCTGAGCCTTCTCTTCACGAGGCTACACAGTACCAGCTCTCTCAGCTTGTCCTCATATGAGAGATGATCCAGATGCTGCCTCTTGCCAGATTCGCTATAGGTGCTCTGTTTGTTGTTGTGGGAGAATAACGGAAGACTGGTGAGGAGGACTGTAAACGTGCTCGAGTGACTTGCAGCTGGGGTGTCGAAAAACACATATATCACACTAATTGATTTTTAGTTCTGTGTGTTTGACAAGTAGAACATCTGTGTTCAGATAACGTAGGCCTGTGATGGACTCGAAGGCACCTTATCAAACACACCTGAGATTCCTGCCCTGCTGTGGGAAAGATCAAAGCACAGTGGAAAAACATGCCTGAAAACTACCTGTTATAACAGGCGAAAAGCAGCAGGTCTGTTAGCTTTTTGCTTGCTATCAGGACCGAGCTCTGCGGTGCCTGTGTTCCCGCTTACGTGCCTCCACCCAGGTGCTGCTGCGGAGATCCCTGGATTGCGAGGTAACAAGAATAAATTTACTCTTTGCATTTCAAGTATGCGTTGAGGTTGTTCCTGCGTCCTGCCTCTGTCAGCTCACACAGTTGTAATCGAGTGAGAAGAGCATGTTGCAGGTACAGTGCAATCTCTATCCCTCCTTAAGCCTCAGAACTCTTTTGATTGTTTTTTTCCCACATACAGCTGGAGCTGACTGCACTAAAAATACATTAGAAGATCACTTTGAAAGAATTTCTCCACTATGTTAATTGTGGCAGCTGCTCTAAATACAGTCAAGAATTGGTACTATAACCTTGTTTATCTCTGAGTAAGACGGTATTTGTTATCACTGTAAACAGATTCATGTGGTATTGTGCATTGGGCAGTCACTGACTTCAATGTATGCATTACTGTAAACACTGGTTGCTAACTGCCATACAAATTGCTGACAAGGATCTTGAAACTGTGGCAGATTGTCTTCTTGAGGACACAAAACAGAGGGAAGTACATCACAGTGGTATTCTGTTGGGTTACAGAAGACTGCCGGTATTTGTATTATGCAGCTTATTCAAAGAAACAAGACTTAAAATATGAGAAGTCAAGACTTGTATGACTGCTCCTACAGGGACAATGAGAAGAGTTTAAAGTCAAAGCTTTGTTCTGCATCTCGGTGCTGAGGATAACATGACAAAACCCACCAAACTTCTTGAAAATAACTTTAATTTTATCCATTAGAAATAGTATCCCCAATAGGTCCACCTTTCCACAAAGGCTTAGATTTTAAACAACAAAGTTCACATTTTTCAAAATTAATAAACAGCTAAATAATCAATTTCAGTATTAGATTCAGGTTCTGGTCAACTGAATAAGAAAGCAAGTCAATATAAGGTAATTGGTAGGGAAGAAAAATTATTTTTTATACTGTCAGTTAATTTTTGGACCACTGATATGAGCACAGAACTTAACTTCAGAGTCAAACTAAATGGACAAAACATACCAAATCAGCACATGATCTTCAACAGTTCCACAGATTCCAGCAGTATTTTAACGACTTTTGCACTGTATTCTAAGGTAAGGCAAGCCAACCACCACACAAAACAAATAATAAATGCTGTGAACTTTAACTGGGCAAGTGTGTCCAGCTTCCTGATACACAGAATAATTCAGCATTGTAAACACACGTTCTAATACAATCCATGAAAAAACTGTTCACCTTATGGTTCACGCTTTCAAATTCACGATTACCACAGTTTTACTGCGCTCACCAGAAGCAGGCTTGTACCTGGACGGTTTTGCTTAAAGTTTTTGATTAGGATGCCATTTTACGGATCATGTAGTTCAGAATGCCACCATTGTGAAAGTAAGTGAGCTCCACGTCAGTGTCAAATCTCATGATGGCATGAAAGGTTTTCCCAGTATCCAGCTGTTGGGGTCAAAGAAAGTCATTCAAGCAGCAGAACCTTCCACATGTTACATGACATGATAGTAAAATATGGACTATTACGATCATTTTGCTATCTTAAGAAATTGTGATAAAAAGCTAAAGTGAACAGGCACTGGACATCAGTATTTCTTTCCACACTAGAGTACAGCCAGCTGCTTAAGAGGAAAGAGGTTTAAAACAAACCATAATAAACATGGTATGGACTCTGCTTGCATTGCATTTGTGCCTCATTTAGATTTATTGTTGATATAAGCCTAGAGGCCTGAAAGCTGACCATCCTTTCAAGTGGTTATACTAATTCTTGATGATTCTATGTAATCGTTCTTCTGTCTTAGGTACAATAGCAATACTTATTTCATTAGCTTTCTTTGAGGCCTAGTGTTTGGGAATCAGAAAAACACAAAGACAAATGCATAAAGTGGATAGAACCATTGGGTTTTACTGAAGACTCCCCTAATCAGGTACTTCCAGATGAATGCACAATGTTCATCTGTGACTAATAAGCTGACCAGCTCTTTGGGATCTCTATTTTCTCATCTCAGGGCCGTTAATGAGGCACATGTAAACAACTACTGCTAGAAACTAATCCAGGCAGACCATTTGCATTAAATGAACATGCAATAAGTAGATTGTTTTGCTAACAGCACTAAAAAAGCAGACTTTGATACTATTAGGTTAAGTCAGTCAGTTTTACAGATGTTCCAATCAAGAATAGACCAAATTTTTATTGAGGATGCTAATATTTTCCCAAAAAGGGCATAGGTTTGAAAGCAAAGCTAGACAAAAAGCAGGGCCTGACGTTTAACTAGA